ACTCAATAGCCAAAACAAATAAAAAAAATAAAAAAAATCTAATTAAAAAGTGGGCAGAGGATCTGAACAGACATTTTTCCAAAGAAGACATACAGATGGCCAGTAGGTACACGAAAAAGTGCTCATCATCACTAATCAGTGGGGAAACACAAAAACATCAAAACGACAAAAAGATATCATCTCCACCTGTTAAAACAGCTATGATCCAAAAGGCAAGAAATAACAAGTGTTGGCAAGGATGTGGAGAAAATGGAGGTTCCTCACAAAATTAAAAATAGAACTACCATATGAATCAGCAATTCCACTTCTGGATATTTATCTGAAGGCAACGAAAACATTACCTCATAAAGGTATCTACGTCCCTATGTATATAGCAGCATTATGTATAAAAGCCAAGAGACAGGGGCGCCTGGGTGGCTCAGTTGGTTAAGCAGCTGCCTTTGGCTCAGATCATGATCCCGGGGTCCTGGGATCGAGCCCCATGTCGGGCTCCCTGCTCAGTGGAGAGTCTGCTTCTCCCTCTCCCTCTGCCTGCCTCTCTGCCTACTTGTGCTCTCTCTCTCTGTCAAATAAATAAATAAAATCTTAAAAAAAAAAAAAAAAACCCAAGAGACAGAAACAACCTAGTGTCCATTGATGGATGATAAATGGATAAAAGAAATGTGGTATATGAACACAATGGAGTATTACTGATCCATAAAAAGAATGAAATCTTGACAAAAAGAATGGATAAAGAAGATGTGTGCATGCATGTGCGTGTGCATGCACGCATGCACACACATGCACACACACAATGGAATATCATACAGCCAAAGAAAAGGATGAGATTTTGCCATGTATGACAACATGGATGGACCTCCAGAGTACTATGCTCAGTGAAATAAGTCAGAGAGAGAAAGACAAATACCGTGTGATTTCACTCATGTGTAGTATCTAAAAAACAAAACAAATGAATAAACAACAAAAAAGCAGAATCAGACCTATAAATACCGAAAACAAACTGATGGTTGCCAAAGGGAAGGGGGTGAAAAGACAGGCAAAGGGTTGTGAAGGGGAGAGGGACATACAGGCTGCCGGTTATGGAATGAATCAGCCACAGGAATAAAAGGCCCAGCATAGGAAATGTAGCTAGTGATAGTTGCACAGCATTCCATGGTGACAGGTGGTGGCCATGCTCGTGGTGAGCACAGCATTGCATATAGAGAAGTTGAGTCACTACGTGAATCACCCCTGAAAGCAACATAACACCGTGTGTCAACTATACACAAATGAAAAAAAAATGTTAATAAATAACAAAAAATCATGTATACACATACATGTACACGCACCCCAAACCTACATACACATACAAATGTACAAACAGACGCACACATACTAAATCCATTTCATTCCTCTGGGCGTTTCTTCATTAATATTTTAATTTCTCCAAATCAAAAGTAATGAGACACAAGATTAGGCAAGAACAGTAACCCTGAAAGATGAGTAAACGTAAAAGTTTAATGATTTTGGGGAACACGTGAAAACCTCATCAAGAAATCATAGACATCTTCAGGTCTAATAATATTTTCCTTATGGAAAATTTTCCAACCATTCTTTTTTTCCCTACCCAGATTCCATTGCCATACCCTGTATTTTCCGTTTTGGCTCTTCCTGCCTGATGACATAATTTGTCTTCTGGACATAGAGCCTGGCCACTCAGCTTGTGCTCTACGGACCAGCAGCTTCTGCACAGTCTGAGTCTAGGAGAAATGCATCATCGTTGGCAGGGTGAAGCAGGGGTAGGTGGAGATGGGAGGATGGAGCTTGCTCTCCAGAAGGAGCTACTCCAGCTACCTGAAGGAAACTTTTTTTCAAATACAGGTATGTATGCGCATGAAATCGCCCTTTTTTGCCTTCTAGGAAAACTCACTACCAAAAATTAAACTAAAATTATAACTGAGGGGCGCCTGGGTGGCTCAGTCGTTAAGCGTCTGCCTTCGGCTCAGGTCATGATCCCAGGGTCCTGGGATCGAGCCCCGTATCAGGCTCTCTACTCAGCAGGAAGCCTGCTCCTCCCTCTCCCACTCCCCCTGCTTGTGTTCCCTCTCTCGCTGTGTTTCTCTCTGTCAAATAAATAAATAAAATCTTTAAAAAAATAAATAAATAATAAAAAAATAAAAAAATAAAATTATAACCGATTCCTGTGTTTCCATTCCTTCTGGTAACTGGAAACAGGTAACAATGGTGTCTATACTAGGTGCCTGGCAGCAAAACCTAATTGAAAAAAGAGATTCTGAAAGCAGAACCAAGAATCATGTGTTCTCTCTTCCTTCCCTATCCACAGGGGTTCCTCACTGGTGCCGGCTGGGGAGGGCAGAGAAGATGGACTGGAGGCACCTCCAAGAACAAGGAAGTAAGGGAAGCTTGATTGTTCTCTGGGGTTAAGCTATGAAATCAACACATCAGAGTGGAGAGATGCAAAATACCCTTAAAGAGACCAAATAGCTCCCAGGCCTCTGAGACCAGACGGAGAGCTGATTAAATCTATTAACATATCTAAAGGAAAAATGTTTCGGTCTCCAGGGGCAGTTGGTCAGATGGAAGGCTTAGAAAAAGGAGAATTTTAGAGGCAAATGCCAGAGATACCCATCCAAGAAGTCAGGGGGACAACTTGCAACCTGTCTAGTGTAAGATAAAGGAAAGTTATTTTTACCATTGTAATATTCAGGTATGATGGGGTCATGGGATTGCCCAGCATCCTGAGATGGGCCGCAGTACTGAATGAAATGACAGAGGTGCTGGGTTCTGGAAGGCTGGGACCATGAAGCACTAAACACCGACTGACCCTGCTTGGATCCACGGTCCTCACACCAGCTTGCCGGTAAAATCTAGCTTCCCGTGTGCGAGGCCTTCAAGGAGAGAAGGTATGACCAGAAGATAGCCCTCCAGGCTCTGTGTCACTTCATGAAATAGCATCGTGACTTTATCTATAATTTCTGTCACTTGGGTAATAGAAATGAACCTTGGGAGATAACACCACTCCCTTACGTACTGACCATTGTTCCTGTAAGTTTGAGCCCTCCCTAGCGTGGGCACTAAGATAATGTTACCCTGAAGCTTCTGGGAAGTGGCTGGCCCAGACAGCCGGGGTCCACCCCCACCCCTCTGCCCCTGTGTGCACTCAGGGCTTTCCTTGGAAAATTCCCATCAGCCTGGGCCTCAGAGATCAGTTGGTGATTATCCTCTAAGATGTTTGATTATAAACATGTAATTTTTCTTATTCGGCATCCTTATTAATCAAAGACATGCAAATTAAGGAAAAAATTAGTAAAGGGAAAATTGGCACAGGGTATAAGCAAAAAAGCATTCCCACATACTGCAGGTGGGAGCCTAAAGTGGGAACACACCAAACATCTGAAAAATACGGGTATACCTCTGACCCAGCAATTTTACTTCCAGGAATTTATCCTTACCTATTAATTAAGGGGATGAACAAAGATTTAACCACAATGATGTCTTCCACAGCAGTTCATAATAGCTAAAACATGGAAATCATGTAAATATTCAACAGCTGAAATTTGTTAAATATCTACAATGCAATAACACACTTACATTTGTAGTATGTTACCAAAGTACATTTACTAACCAGGAAAGATATTCACACTGTATTTTTCTTTTCTTTTCCTTTCCTTTCCTTTCCTTTTTTTTCCTTCGTTTCCTTTTCTTTTGTTACATTTTCTAATTTTTTCAACGAACATTTATTACTACATACAGCCCTGGTTCTAAATCAAAGTTGAGGAACTGTCCCTGTTCCTATAAAGAATAGAACCCAGGGGCTCCTGGGTGGCTCAGTCAGTTAAGAGCCGAACTCTTGATTTCAGCAGGGCTCATCATCTCAGGGTCCTGGGATCAAGCCCAGAGTCGAGCCCTGCTTTAGGCTCCACGCTCAGCGGGAAGTCTGCTTGAGGATTCTCTCTCCCTCTGCCCCTCCCCCCATTCTCTCTCTCTCTCTCTAAAATAAATATATCTTTAAAAAAAAAATAGAATCCAGTCATTGGAAGGAAGAGGACACAGACAATATCCATTATATCCATTTAAGTCTTTTCTCCACTTGTGATCAAAGGAGACTCAAACAGGTATAAGGCTTCTCCGAGGTCACCCAATGCTCTTACCCAGCCCTGCAGATACTTAAGCCAGCATGTGTCCAGTCATTTCTAATGCCTTCGGTTTGGAGCAGAACCTTGTCTCTCTCGATGCTACTCAACACCAGTGTCTTAGCTCGGAAAGCAATGTTGCCCCTCTTAGCTGTGTGTAGAGCCAAAATAGTTGAATACACCCCCTTTTTAATGATCTCTCTTCTCTACGTCCTCAACACAGTAGTCAGAAGCCTCAATTGCAAACTTAATCGCACGTGATACTCCAAAATTTTCCGAAGTGAATCGTAAAATATCCAACTTCCCTTGAGACATTTCAGAATGAATTGGTGAGATGGGGAGGGGAGACAGAAAGTGACAAACAAAGAAGGTGTACTTTGTGACCCTGACTTAGAGTGGTTTCTTAGTGTGAAAGCTCCTTTGCGTTTTGCAAGCCTCATCCTTCTGTGTACCAGGAAAGAACACACTGGCCTCTCAGAAGCTGCCTCGGGACTCTGGTCAGCTGCGGCGGAAAAGTCCTGCCTCTGTTCTCTTCTGTGACCTGAGTCTAGTGACTCCTTGACCAGTTTCCAAAGAGACATTTATTGCAAAACGGTAATTAACACTGCGACATCCGGCCTTAAATGATCCTTCTATAACGTCTGTTTTCTCCTCAAGTGAGATTCATGTGGAGATTTTTGATAGGACACAGGGACAGAGCAACGCTTCCGTCATTCCACAGACCAGGAAAGCCGCAGCCCAGGGTGACAGGGAATGATCCAAGCTGCCCCACCCCCCCAGGCCTCCATCTCAGCTGCCATTCGCATGTGCCATTTCCCAGCGCTGGGAAACACAAGCGCCCCACAAAGTGATGGAGGTCTTACTTACGGACACACATTTCCCTGCTTTCATAAAATCCAGGACAACACTGGGATTTGCGTCTATACATAGTCTTCTCCCCATGCCGATAGGCTGTCCGATAACTGATTCTGCACGGAAGGAAAAAATCACATTGTTACTTCTTTTGACCAGCAATTTGATCAGAACTAAAGAATTTCTATTTTGATACAAAAGAGCTATTAAATATAATAAAGGTATGAAAAACAAAGTACTCTAAAATAGGTAAGAAGGAACATGGACTGTATGTCTTTTTTATATATATATAATGTATTATTGGTTTCAGTCTTGAACAATATTATGCTAACTCTTATCTTTTTGCTTAAGAATATATGTATCTATATTTTTTTAAAGGAGTAGTTTATTTTTTTTTTAAGATTTTATTTATTTATTTGACAGAGAGAAACACAACAAGAGAGGGAACACAAGCAGGGGGAGTGGGAGAGGGAGAAGCAGGCTTCCGCGGAGCAGGGAGCCCGACCCGGGGCTCAATCCCAGGACCCTGGGATCATGACCTGAGCCGAAGGCAGACGCTTAATGACTGAGCCACCCAGGCACCCCTTTGCTTAAGAATATATTAAAATTGCCCATTTTAGCCAACCTATACTTTATTTCAAGGGATCAGAAGTTTCATGACTTTCCTATTTCACTTATCTTGAGATACGTCGGGAAGTATCGATTAGTTTCAGATATGAGGGGCGCCTGGATGGTTCAGTCAGTTAAGCGTCTGCCTTCGGCTCAGGTCATGATCCCAGGGTCCTCGGATCAAGCCCCGCATCGGGCTACCTGCTTAGCGGGGAGTCTGCTTCTCCCTCTCCCACTCCCCCTCCTCCTGCTCATGCTCTCGCTGTCTCTCTCAAATAAATGAATAAAATCTTTTTTAAAAATTTCAGATATGACACTGATCTAATTATCATTTGCTTACATATGTTTTAAAAGAAGAATTCAGAGAATTCCTTGAAAAACCTATGACAATACAGTCTCATCCCACTATAAAATAGATTATATATAGACAAATGACCCTCATTAACTAAAGCCTCATTCATTCACTGATTTATTTATATAACACATGTTTACTGAGCACTCACTATATTCCAGGCACCACTCTAGGCATTGGGAAAATAACTCACAGTGAGCAAAACAATATAAAGCCTTGCCCTCAAGAAATGTATATTCCACTGGGGAAGAAAGATCTATAGAATTTAAGTACAGATCCACATTAAACGAATAAATATGTCATATAATGACTGGTAACGATTATATGTTGTAATGAAAAATAAGGCCGGAGTAAGGGAAGAGAGTGTGACAGTATGGGAATACTTGTTTAGATAGAGTGGACAAGGAAAGCTTGTCTGAAGAAATAACATTGAGCATAACATTTAGTGCAGCATAAATCAACAGATGTCACATTTAGACCCATCACTCACACCACTATAAGTTTATTTTACAAATAAAAGTAAGGTATCAAGGTTCCCTTCCATATTAACATTAATATTTAAGATATTTTTCTTTTCTGTTTTCGCATTTATAGGAAAAAAAATATGTCTTAAGTTGAGGTCAAATTTAAGTTAGTCTAGGGGTGCCTGGGTAACTCAGTTGGTTAAGCATCTGACACTTGATTTCGGCTCAGGTCATGATCTCAGGGTCATGAGATCAAGCCCCACGTCAGGCTCTGCACTGGAAGTGGAGCCTGCTTAAGAGTCTCTCTCTCCCTCTCCCTTTTCCCTCTGCCCCCATCCCCCGACCCTGTGCACGTGCGTGTATGTGCTCTCTCACTCTAAAAAAAAAAAAAAAAAAAAAAATTAAGTTAGTCTAAATTGAGTCAGATATTCAAGTAGAAACATACACTGGAATATGAGTCTCTGGATACCTAGTGATGTCCATATTGAAGAGCGTCTCCCCCGTTTATGCACCACACACAAGCTGCATGAATTCTTGCTAACCAAATGATGGTAACCAGTAGACCCTTTCTCTGTAAGCTCCTCACAGACAGTGGTTTTGCTTTTCCGTATCTCCTATGGTTTGGAACAAGGCTAAGATGATAGCAAGCACTCAGTAACTATTCACGAGATGAATGGATGCATCTTCTCAAATGTTTAATGTCTCTGCATTAAAGGACTTCCCAGTTAGCCAAACTCATAAATGTATCTGGGCTTCGATTACCTGTGCCGTGTGCATTTAAACCAGTTCAGAATGTCAGTGCAGCTGGTGTAGTAGATTTGATCGAAGGGATGTGGGTATGACTCTTGCACAGTCACTGAGTAGCTGACAAAGAAGAAAGATAAAGAATCAATATTTCTGATTCTTACATTCGTGATATACCACGTATATAAAAAAATCAGAGGCTAAATTATCTTCATTGGCAACTCCATGCTGACTTTTAATAGAGAATCTCCATGTTTTTACAGGTTTTTATTTGACCCAGAGCACCAAAAGGACCAATATTAATAATACATTTAAAAGACAAGAGTTCATGTTCTGAATTTCATAAAAGAATTCTCTTTACCATTCACCATAAATTCTGATAATCCCAAATTTACAAACATGATCACCATATATTGCTCTGTATTTAATTCCATCCCCTCATCCCAGGGGTGCAGGGTTAACCCAGACCTTTCACAAGAAGTTTTCGATCTAAATCTGTATGCAAATAATAAGTACAGAGACCATGTGAATATTCATAACAGTACATTTTGGTACAGATTCTGGAAAATCAGAAAGAACATATTTCTCAGGTTGGAACTTGAATTAATTTGGTTTTGTGCGCCTGCCCTACTTCTCAGGCACTGGGAGGATATATACAAGCTCTAAATAAAAACTACAAAGTCTCTAAACATATAGCTGAAACAATTAGCCTGAAATATACATATCCACAGCCTGCTGCTACTTAGCCTGGTTTCCACTACATTTTCACTAACAGCTTCTTGTTAAAGTAAAAGTATGCAATCCTAAGGGCCTGAGAATGTAGGTGGAAAACATCCATAAAACATAAAGAGCATTCAATGTTCAATGTCATAGTTCTTCATTTTAAAGCAGTCCATTACATGCTCAAGAGCTTAGAGTTGCTACCTACACGAAAACCTGGAGAATCCTCTTGGCCGAACAAGTTAATCCTCTTCTCTTTAACAATCTCAAAGATTTTCACTTAAATCTTTAATTCACACTAGCAAATGAAACAGGCCACGATTATGGACTCACTTGCAGCAAATCAATAGGCCAACTTCATTATTAGGAACTATCGACTAGAGAAGGTACAGAAGGAATGAGGCTGAAATGTCAGCATGAAGAATTCAGGTTAGAAATAGGGTAGAACCTTCTCATTTGAAAAGCTATGTGGTGTTAGGCTCCCCAACAGTGGGATTTCTTTCTCCAAGTAGCCCCTGTTAGCTATTATGTGCTTAGGCTTCAACAGGAAATCCATAAAATAATCATTCTGTTCACACTTTTGTGTATCTCATTCTTTGGGTCACTGCAACTTGATTTCTAGCTAAATTTAGTGATCCTCCACAAATCTTAGGCAGATGCAATAGGCCCTACTGAAAAGATCACTGATTAGCAGAAGACAGGGTTATCCTGATCTGACGCTGAGAAACTAGACGGTCATTAGCAGATAACCTTCCTTCCCTTGGTTTTGAGTATCACATTTGAAAACCAAAGAATCACGGATGGTCTTGAAGATCCCTTCCTACTTGGCATTCTGAATTTCTTACATACATTTTAGGTGATTATTTCCTTCTCTATTGTATGCCACCTGAGGCTACCTACAAGAGCAGGTTCAGATGAGTGTAGGTGATGCAAACCCCCACATCTGTAATATAACTCCTTTAAGGGAAAAGAGGCCACTGTTAAAATATAAAGGTTCTTGGGATGAAATATCACAATAAGGTATTAATGTCTTCTGACCTCTAGCACTGTTCTGAGGTTCAGGTTGATGCAAATTCCAAGACTTCCTCAGCAATTTTTTTCCCTGCCTATCCAGCTGCTTGTAAATAACTGAACCTTGAGGCCTGCAGCATTATTTCTCTATTCCATTTTCAGTGCAGAGCAAAGCGAATGAATGTCCTCTGCTTATAGGTGCAGTTCTGCATTACCCATGAGCAAAACACAGCAATGCCCACACGTGCTAGAGGAGTAAAAAAGAAACCACCCTAAATCAAGGCTGACTGGAAGACAAAAATGTTCTACCAAGCTCTACAGCACGAATTCAACAGAACTAAAGTGGATCGTTGGAACTAAACTGGATGCATTATTCCCATAAAATTTCAAAGGCTGTGTTATGATGGTTAAGGTCTGTCTGCCTTGGTGAGCAGAAGAGATAATCAACAAAGGGATCCCGGCCAAACACATCCCATTTAATGTGGATGGGAGAACAGATTCCATAGGCAAACACGAGAAATGTTTTCACTAATTTCTAGCAGTCTGGAGGATTACTTAAATGAGAGAAAGTGCTCAAGTATATGAATTTTCTCTCTTGCCACTTGCTGTTCACCAAAAGCACACATTTGAGGGACGCTTCTCTGGTTTTCAGATAGAAAAAAAGGCTCTTGGTAATCAAACCATTTAGGATTCCAATTCAACAAACAGTTATTTGAACATCTCTGCAATTTCCGCCCCCAAAGAGCTCTCAAGAGGGGCCAGCACATGATGCTAGAAATAACACAACAGGGCTCTAACAGAGAAATACGTACAGTTTTGGGGAAACACGGACACAAAAGGTACTATGCTCTGAGCATTTCTCTTCCACCTTGACTCTTCTGATTAAAATTATTCAGAGCCTCAAATTCAGTTCAGAAGTGACTGAAAACAAATTACTTTGCACATTGATCACAAATAGGCTTCTGGTGAAGTCTATGGGAGAAGGGCTCTAAGCCTCTTCACACCAAATTTCCTTTCTGTTGGTTTTTATACATTTTTTCTTTTCCATACAATCTTGCTCTTCCCCCTCCTCATTTTTAATGGTATTCTAATCACATGACAAAATTTGGAAAACATTAACATTAATGAGAATTCTCTAACTCTTACACAACCACCAATAGCATTTTGCTGACTTTTTACAGTCCTCAGGGGTTTTTTAGCTTTTTGTGTTAGTTCAGGTTTTTGGCTTTTATTATAATATAATCACACGACTCACATAATTCTGAAAATTACTTTTAAACTTGAATGTATCATAAGCAGGTTAGTAAATCGTGAATATTCTTCAAATTACGACAGCCAAATACTCTGTAACTGACTATACCTAATTTGCTCAATACCCACCTACGGTTGAAGAAATAACTTGTTCACTTTTCAAGGGGCCACTTTGTGGAGGCTGTGTGCTTGCATCACAAAGGGAAAGATCTCTGAGAACAGGCCAGCCTCCTCTGGGTCTTTTTTATTTATTTATTTAATTTCATTTTATTATGTTATGTTAGTCACCATACAGTACATCATTAGCTTTTGATGCAGTGATCCACGATTCATTGATCCATGCAGTACATGCCCTCCTTAATACCCGTCACTGGGCTAACCCATCCTCTGGGTCTGTATCACCGCTTCCAGGCCTCTGCTAACCGTTCACACCTCCATGTTCCTCAGCAGCTGCTCTTAAGTCAGAGCAGGAAGGAACCTTCTTGACTGCCTAGTCCAATCTTGTTTTTATCACAAATGAGCAACACTGAGCTCCCTGTGCTAGCAGTCAGCCTAGGGCCAGCACTAAGCCCGGGTTCCCCAGACACCGTCCTGTCCCATGCCACCTCTCAGATGTCAATAGAACATCTAAAGCTTCTAAAGCAGACAACTGGTGCCAAACTGTGGTATAAAGGGAATCTGATCTCAATTCTACACTATTTTCACCACAGAGATGCGTAACTCTTCACCTCCTGCTTGTGTGTTTAATCTTCTCAGAGACACTGAAAACATATCATCACCGGGACTTTAACCTATTAAATATCATCCGGGGAGAAACCCCAGCAAGATTTAATTTAAGGTCAAAGAATGGGGGGGGGGTGGAGAAGCCATCATCACTTGGACACATTCCAAAGTGGTTCATTACATTCTATCTGCCAAAATGATCTTGTTACTTTAATCAGATATGATAATAATCATCATTCCTTATCTCTGCTCGCTTCAGGACTTGCTTCTTCCATTACCACCACTTCTGTGTTCCACCCCCAAGGGGATGGGCAAAGCATGGCTTCTCTTCCTTGGTGCCCTCTTTAGCAGAAACCCCAGTAGATGCCAACACGTAAACTCACAGACCAGGGAAAGGTGATATGAAGAAGGAACAGATAATTCATGGAATTATCCATTTCCAAAAGGCTGATGCACGGGATTCCTTTAATAGCAAGCACCCCTTGTGTATTTTAAATGATTTCGTTTTCCTTAATTTTATTTTCTGTACGACTTCTCAGAACCACAATGGCTGCATTAAAATGAGGCCTCCTTTTATTTGAAAACTAATGATTCAGCAAGCCTGGGGCAGGGCCTGAGAGTCTGCATTTCTGGCAGGTGCCAGAGACGCAAGACTCCGGCTGAGTCCATTTGGTACAGGTGGGGTTGAGATAAGGCAAGCCTCCAATGAGCCCTACTCAGCCCTACCACCAGGAATTCTGTCCTTGACACTCATCTTCCTCTCCCCATTTCCATTCAAGCAGGTTTTGAAAATACAGAATGTGTCACCTGCACCCTTGTTTGATCATTTTAGTTTCTGTTCCTTCCTCCATTCTTGTCACAACTATTGCACTTTCTTTTACATTTCTTCCAAGAATCATTATCTGGCGTTAAAACAGGAAATGTATCAATAAGAAGATTATGGCTGTCAATCCTTCTTTCTAGAAGGTCATAGGAAAAAAAATACAGTTGGGAGAAAAAAATCCCCATTATGTCCCTTCTCTTTCTCGCTCTTTTTCCCTCCTCATTAGTAAGTCTTTTAGAGGTTACTCTAATTACTTCTGCAATGGTTGAACTGCATTAGGTTTAGAGACTAATGTGCCCTGTGCCTGTCCCTCTGTCCCCTCTCCCCGTTCCCCCACTGATGTCCATATTTAGCCATTTTATTTCCTGTCAGGTGAGTGTACTCAATCAACAGCCATTTATCCAGCACATGCCCTAAGCAAGGCAGGGTTTTAGACCCTGGGAATTATCCATAGCGAACAAAACATGCAATTATGTGTTGCCAAGTTTCGTCAAATAATGAGGAAAGAATCAGGACAAAATGTACATGTACGAGTGGGTGCTGGGCTACCTGAAGTCTGGCTTCTTTTCTCTTTTCAGCCTTTCCCTCAGAGAGTTCACCTGTTCACGTCTCATCATGCTGGAGACTCCTGATTCTGTGCTCCCAAACACTACCGGGCCCATTTCTCAAACCGATCTTAGGCACACGACAGGGCAACCACACTAATCTCTTCCCTCTCAAATCAATTCTCTTCCTTTTCTTTCTCATATATCACCTCCACGCTTTCACAGAGCAGGTTCTAAATCTCACCTTCGCTGCCTCCTGCACATCCTACAATCCATGTATGACCAAGATGTGTTGATTCTTATTTCACAGTATCTTACGAATTTGATTTTTTCCTTCTATTCCAAAGCTCTCATGCTCCCACAAGTTCAACCACCAGTGGCTTCTCCCTTTTTCAAATGTGATATGTACCCATTCTTGTATTCACTGATTCATGTTTACTGCTTTAATGGATATTTATTGTGCTCTTTGTAGCTGAAATGTTTATGGGGGGGTGCTGCGACGATTATAAAGATAATTAATAGGAGGTCCTTCCCCTTCAATTCTATATAATACAGTTAATACCACAGATACATAAAACTTGATTACATACACATATTTCCTCTACAGCTTAAAGCTTCATAATGATACATAACTCCATGGATTGACCAGGGAGTACGTTTCTGTTACCCTGATTGTAATACTGCGCATAGACATGGGGAAGCCCTCACTGAAAAAAATAATGCCGTGAGTGAGGGACTAGGGTGCCCCTAGAGTAACACAGCTGCTGTGCCTGAAGGGCTCTGAGCTGGGCCGACAGTCCTGGCTGGATGTGTCCCCTGTGGGGTGCTGCTCACGGTGCTGGGTGCTGAGAACAGGGAAAAGCGACGGGGAGTTCAATGAAATGGCGCGTACAGCTATCAAAACTACCTGCTATTCTGGGGTGCTTGAGCGGACTAGAAGGGCGCCACCTTCTCTCTGGAAAGCCGACACTCGCAATGTGACTTGTAGCTAAAGGTGCTTTTGTAGAAATGCAAGTAGCACAGTAGAGCGGTGTAGACTACATTTGACTATTCTGCCTTAGCACTAGATGGTTTGTACTATTTTTGTGTTCCAAAAAGGACTCTAAGCTCTCTGACAGTGACCTGTTGTATTGTCCCTTCCTCTGCATCTCCTACTGTACATTGCCCTAATCTGTATACGACACCATCTGCTTTGATGCAATCTAGTCAATCTTGCCCTCCTTCAGGACCGTACTGACTCTAGTTTTGCTGCTCAAGACCCTCAGCGGTCTGCATGGCACTGGTTTCAAGCCACCTTCCATGCCTAGAACTCTACTCAATCACTGCTATCCGCTCGTCTTATTCAGGTCTTTGAGAGCATCTCAGCTGACACTATGTCCATGCGCCCTCTCCAGTGCCTCCAGAAATCACATCGCCCTTTTCAGGCCACATACAGCCCAATTTTTTTGTACCATACTTGGCCACCCTTCAGTACATTATTCCATATTGTCCTTCGCCGCTTACCCATTGGTTCTCATGCATAAGTCCAGCTCCCCCAGATTATTGCAAAATAGACTGAGAGCAGGGAGATGTTTGGGAGATCATGTGAATGGAGCTAGTAATATTTTCCCTGCAGGATATGATTGCTCCTGTGTTAGAATCAATAGACCAGAGTTCTTTCACTTTATATTCTGTAAGACCAGAGTTCTTTCACTTTATATTCTGTAATCAAGTTCTATATTCTGAAGAGTACTAACTTATTAATATAACTACTGGCTTTTACATAAAAGTAATTTCATAATCTCTTCTCAAAGTCTAATTTTACATGTCAGGCTGGTAATGATAATATATAAAAAAAAAATCAGAAACTACTTCTCAGACTACTCTCAAAACGATTACCTTTCCCAGTGGCTGCACACATTAGGGTCTTCAAGATTCAGGGATGATGCTGTCCTGCTCCAGAGGCATAACGAGAAACAGATAAAGCTCAGGCATGAGTTCAAAGAGATAACCATTTTTTTTTGGAAGAACAACCTACAAGAAAACAAAAATCCCAATTAGAGAAGCATTAAAATGACCCAAACAGAATTCTTTTCAGTACAACAACCATTTGGGACCAGTTGTCAGTAGGGCTGAACCACGCATAACAAGCCATGTGTTTAAATAGACGGGTCACCAGATTTCATGGTCCAAGAGAGAGGTATTTCTTGTGTTGTGCAGGGTGGTCACCATTTTGTAAATTACTAAAATGTGCAAATCATCATTAATTGCCATCACAACAAAAGCCCTTCTCATCCAGGCCAGCCAACATTAAAGGAATCTACCCGAACAACTCAGAGCAACACAGACTTCCAGATTCTCTCACCAGGCATATTTCCCTTCTGGAAGAAGAGGGCTCACAGAGGAATCTGGCCTCATTTGTCCTGGAGGGTAAACGATGAAACAGAAGCTCCATTGACTCAAGAGAGAGGCACCTCAGGCTCAAACTGAGATTCATTCAATAATTCACTCAATGGCCATGGAACGTCTGCTAGGTCTGCTCTATCCTAGGCACTGCGCAAAAACTGGACATCAAATACAGACACAATTTCTGTCCCTGGCCATTAAGATGCCTATAATTTAATAATCATGATGTACATTTCCCACATTTAGTGCTTCCGTTTCCCCATCTGCTCAACAGAAACAAAACCAGCCATCTTACAGAGGTTTGTTCGTAGGTGTGCAGAAAAAGGTGTAAGGCTGTTTAGAGGTTGGTGTTAGAGAAAACCAACCTGGTGTTCTTGAGAGGAAGAATGAACACAACGGAAAAGCAAACAGCAGCTTATTTGCAAAAGAGGCCCGCAAAGGAGATACAAGAGGAAGGAGAGAATGTTCCATGCAGACGGAACCAGAGGGGAGGGAGGGTCAGGCACACTTTGGGGAGCTCAAATTAATTCAGCCAAGAAAGAGACAGGGGCATAGCACAAAGGGTTTTGTACACCATTGCCAAGTCCGAGAACTTCACTGGGGGATAAAGCAGACCTTGCAGGGAAGTGAGCGAATCTGAGAGACTTTTGGGAGTTGAATCAGTAGAACTTGATGACTGAATATGAGAGTAAGAGAGAGGAGTGCTCCCCGGAAGAGCCCCATGGGTAGATGGCGTGCCCTTCACTAAGATGAGAAGCACAGACACCCTCTCCTTCTGGGATGGAAGAAGCTTTAGATCAGGTTCAGATACATCAAGTCTGAGGTTCCCAGGAGGTACTCACATGAAGTCATCGGCAGGCATTTATTGAACACATACTATGTGCCAGGCACTCACCAGCTTGGGATTGTAATAGCAGCATGGCCTGTGCCTGGAACTCACGCCCAGCTCCTCACCTCCAGGAACTTACCCCTTAGTCAGAAGGAAACGTTTAATTGGCACACTTATAAAATGATTTTATATAATTATTGCAAAAATGGACACGGAACTATAAATAGCTGATCCACTTACTACTTAAAAAGAGAACAGGTATTGACCTGCCTGTTGGTAAACTAGGGAAACTAGTAACAATAGGCCAGATTATGTGACTGAAGCAGTTATTTTCCGGGTGAAAGCTGGCATTTTGAGAAGTTATACTAACTTTCTACACCACAAGGCGCGGAACCAAATGGGAACAAAATTTATTGAATAATGACCTTGTGGTTTAAAAAGATAAGTTTATTGGGATGCCAGGCTGGTTCAGTTGGTGGAGCACCGAACTCCTATTTAAAAAAAAAAAAAAAGAGATTGATTTATTTATTTGAGAGAAAGAGAGCATGAGCTCCTGGGCATGAGTCAGGGAAGTGGCAGAAGGAGAGAACCTCAGGCTGACTCCCTGCTGAACATGGAGCCTCCTGAGGGCTCAGTCTGAGATCATGAGCTGAGCCAAAACCAAGAGTCAGACACTCAACTGACTGAGCCACCCAGGCGCCCTGGAGTGTGGGACTCTTGATCTTGGGCTCATGAGTTCGAGCCCCATGCAGGGTGTAGAGATTACTTCAAAAAAAAAAAAAAAAAAAAGGGTAGAGGGTAAGTTTATCTTCAAATAAACAATAAACAACAATAGCAGCAAAAACCTAACCTTAGGAAATAGTTTATCCTTCAAAGTCAAGAGACTAGATCAAGGGAAGAAGTACTCAATCCTTCAAAATCAAGGCTGTTTATAAGGATAAGTGTATCAAGTATATCGTGACAAGTGTCACACCTGTGTCTAACTGCACAAAGGCTAAAACTAAAGACAACATTTGATTTAGGATAAGGAAATAATATCATGAACGTGTAGGATAACGAGAAGATACTATAAGCCATTATGAGAGGCTGTGAAATCTTTAAAAAGGGAAGTTTCCGTCATCACAAAATATATTCTAACATTAAAAGCATAAATGGGTAGCCAAAATAGGGCTTATAAATTAATTCAAATTATCAGTGTTTGTCATGAAGTTGTAAAATCTGAAGCTCAACATTATATAACCAAAGAAGCTTTTCCACTTAACAAGAATGATGAACAGTGATGATGATGATGATGATGATAGGCAATAATTTCCAGACCGGCTCCTGGGAGCCAGGCCCAGGGCGTGGAACCTTTTATGTGCGTGATCTGTCCAACCCTCACAGTCATTTACCTAAGAAAAAGGTGTTTTTATGATCCCCATTTCACAGTTGAAGACATGTAATACACTGCTAATGTTCTCCTCATTCATCAAAAGAAGCAAACCTCTAATATACTTGGTTGTAACAAACAAGCATGGCAAATACCTCCTGTCTCATTGCTTTATCTATGTCAGGGTAAGTGTTTTGTTTCAGCGAAGTGTGAAATATATATATTAACTTTCATTCTCTCCTCAAAGACAAAACGAGTGCTAGTCAGCAGTAATCTGCCGTCTACTTACCAACAATTACCCCAAATTGGAAAGTTTATATCGTGAGTCACCATCTTAGACTCAAACCATCCATTTTCCAATTAGAAATGTTTAGTCTGTAAAGTTAGAAATTGCTGCAAGCAATGAATCAAACTGCCAAGAAAAAGAAAAAGGCTGTGTGTTTTCCTTTAATGTAAAAATTTTAACGTTAATCTTTTGGTAGCCCTTCTTGCTTTGCACTTGACGTGAAGCTCTATGAAGGCTTTAACCTCTCTGTGGGGATGGCAGGAAAAAAAAAAAAAAAGCAAAATTTGGTTACCTCCCCTTTGCTTTTGAAATTTGGCATACAGAAAAATCTAACTGCATTGCCAATTTGCTGGAGGTGTTTCCAGAAGGGAAAATATAAAGACATTTAAAAAAATGTATATATACATCAGCTGGTCTCATTCCCCAAGGATTTTCCAAATTAAAATAAAAAAATTAACTGAGTTCTAAAATAACCTGCATTAGAGTATAAAACATCAAAAGCAAAAAGAATTGCTAGTTCCAGATGCGGGGATCATGCAACCTCACATAAACAGGTTAAAACCCTTTGAGAAAATAATTCAAATGTTATATACCGTGTGGGGAAAGGACATTTCACAGACATGCCAATGAGCTGTAAGAAACTATAGAAATACAACATTTCGTTATATTCAGAACACAGATGTTCCGTCCTTTTGTTCGGTCTTGTTGAATAAAAGGCACGGAGAGAAAAAACCCAAGTAAGAAGTGGATAGGGCATTACATAAACCATTTCCCTGCTTTATTTGTATTCTTCTATAGGTTTCGCTAAGTAAATGCGGGTACAGTTTTTCCTTCATATCTTCCCTGAAGGAAAAAAGTTCAACACATTTCCCCCTCATTTCTCTCTTTTAAGCTGTGCCATCTTGTCTTACACTATAATCTTCCACTTCGGAGCACATATGAAAACAAAACACAATCTTTAAAAAATAGAATTATTTCAATTGGAACAAAAGTAACACAGTGGTGATTTGCTTCATTAAAACAGACATTTGGAAAATATTCAAAACTCTAAATTAAGAGTTCTGCTACCCCCACCCACTCAGTCTTCATCTTCAAATAACTTTCCTTATGGTTCCATTTAACAAAATTTAAAATGTAAAAAAAAAAAAAAAAGAGAGAGAGTCATTTGCATGAACCCCCTAGTGCCAAACTTGATTGCATTTCATATCATTCACTTAATTATTATGGAAAAATCAAAACAGAAAATCAGTACAACTGATTAGCATTGCTAAAGTGCTCCTATTAGAAAAAAGAAACACAGCAGGTAGGATTAACTCTTGCTACCTACTAGGAAGGCAGGCTTTGCTTATTCTCACAAAAACCTCGATAAATAATCAGGTTGAATACAGTCCTTACAATGGATGAATCTAGGTTCTTTTTTTTTTTTTTTTAAAGATTTTATTTATTTATTTGAGAGAGAGAGAGAATGAGAGACAGAGAGCATGAGAGGGAGGAGGGTCAGAGGGAGAAGCAGACTCCCTGCCGAGCAGGGAGCCCGATGCGGGACTCGATCCCGGGACTCCAGGATCATGACCTGAGCCGAAGGCAGTCGCCCAACCAACTGAGCCACCCAGGCGCCCTGAATCTAGGTTCTGACGATAGGGAGTAGTTTATCAGTGTATTAGGGAGAGATAAATAACGGGGGCATTGACGTGCTAATTTATTTTTGCAACAACAGAGGGATAAATGATGCCAGACAATCCTTTCTGCCTCTAAAATCTATTTCCTTCCTAGAATCATTAAGTGCACTCATAGAAATAACTTGGGTGCCCTCACCCAGTTTTTCTTCAAGCTCATTTCCTTAAAATCATCTCACAGTTTTCTAAGCGAGAATAAATTTCATGATTAAGAGTAGTCACATTTCCACAATCCCTACCCCCTCTCTAGGTACCAAAAGCCACCAATTTTCCCTGATCACACCATCATGTTATCTGTAAATAACATACTAGCTTTTCCTCAGAAAGGCTGCCCAAGTGGGACAGAAGGAACATGCTGTGTTCCTCCTGGAGCTTCAGGCCTGTGACTAGAATATCAGAGCTCCAGCTTGGGGGTATCAACGATGTCAAAAGACACTCATGTGAGTCTTGATCTCAGGGTTCTGAGTT